CCCCCCCCCCCCTCTCCCGCCCCGTTGATTGCGCTCAGAACGAGTGGGACGACCTGATGCTTGAGACGTACACCCTGAAGCAACACCTCAATCAGACGAGGCAGGAGCTGAGCCAATCGTTGTACCAGGTGAGGAAAAAATGAACAACTCGAGGGAGCGAGGGCGCGACCGAGACAGGGACTAAGGGGAAATGATGACAGAGGGAGTGGGGGGGTGTGTAAAGGCCCACGAGGGATGAACTTGTCGTGTTTTCTTTGTGAAATAGAAATAGAGAACGAGCGCTAGCGAGCGAGAGAGAGAGAAATTGGTCTGGTTTTGGTAGCACCCCCAAGGCACTGCTTCTCACGCAGGGAGGGTAGGATGGACGAATACCCCCTGTCCCGCTGCACTGCACTGCGGCGCGGCGGTAGAAGCCAGATTCACTCGCAACTTCAGGTTGACGGCACTCCCGTTTTCCGCGATCTTTTCCCCGTAGTAACAATTTTCAGTGAATCTTGCCGCACTTGTTTGTTGTTCCGACACCCGCGTAAACAACATCCGACAAAATACTCTCACACGCGATATTTCTTGGAAGAACGACGCGGCGTGTCGGGTGATCGCGCGTCTGCATCGCGAAAGGGACGAAGCGCTGGCGCAGGTGCAGGCACAGAGGACCGCCCTGGCGCAGGCGCAGGCGGCAGCCCCGGCAGCGGCAGCGGCTGTGGAAGGTAGGGTCGGAGGGGGGGGGAGGGAGGGGGGGGGGGCGTTGTGNGGGGGGGGGGGGGGGGGGGGGGGGGGGGGGGGGGGGGGGGGGGGGGGGGGGGGGGGGGCGTTGTGTGTGGACTGTTGTTTTTGTTAGGCGTTGGTTTCGTTGGTGGCGCTGTTGTTTGCGGCAGCCGCGGCGGCCGGGGTTGCGATTTTCAAGATTGGGGGGGATGTCGGTATGTGTCGTGACTATAATTTGCTTGTGTTGGAGTTGTTGTTACTATGCATACCCCTTTGGCGGCCGGCCTGCCCGGTAGTGGCGTTGGCACCGTGCGCTGCTGCGTTTGTGATGCCACTTGAGTTGGTGGTGTTGGTCGTGTTGAGGCGTGACAGCTGACGTGGTCGTTCACGTCCCTGCGTGATGGGAGCAGTAACACCGTCAGTTAGACGAGGCAGGCAACCATTGCATTCTTTGAAGCACTCCTCCGGCATTCTTGCCCCCCCCCGGGCACTAGAGGCATGCCCCCGCCCTCTCTCCTGCTTAAGTGTTGAGTGGCGCACCCTTGTTTTGTGACCCGGCAGCCTTTGCTTCGCGAGCTTGTACATGTACTCTACCGCCCGTAGCCGAACAGGAATAGCTCCCGCGCAAGCGTGGCTGGCTTCGTGATGAACGTGCTGACACAGATTATATTTCAAGGACTGTGTGTTCTGATATATATTTCGTGATGATGCATGTTCCTCTTTAGGATGATGTGTTCTAATGACACATGTGTCTCTTCTCTCCCCCTTACCGCCCCCCCTACCCTCCGCCATTCTCGTTAGCCTCGAACGGCTGCACCAACCAACGGCTTCCTGCCTCCCTCCCTCCCTCCCTCCTTCCTTCCTTCCTTGCCTCCTTCCACGCCTTGCAGAGATGCAGACGGAGGATGACGGGGAGGAGGGAATCTCGCCCTCCGTACACGCGCAGATGCAGGCTAAGTGGAAGGAGCTCTCCAAGAAGAGGTGAGCGCGGTCGACGCTCAAGGGCGCGCGCAAAGCGCTGCGCGGCTGCCGCCGCTGCCGCCGTCAACTCGTACTTGGTTTCTTGCGGCCATGTGGTGCCCTGGGTGTGTTGGTGGAGTGTTTTTGGTTGTGCCGTGATTCGCGTGAATGCAACAAGTATTTCTTCGTGGGTGATTGTTGGTGTGCATACAACCTCGTTTGTTTTGCTCGTTGTGGCTCGTGCTGGTGCTGTTTTCGTTGCTGCCACTGCTGCTGCTGTTGGTGTTGGGTGTTTGTTTTATGCCTGGTTACAGAAATACAGAAATACAGACACTCCGTGCCCCCTCGCCTTGACAACAAACAACACCAGGAAGAAGAGGGCCATGCCGGACGACCTGGCCTCTCAGGAGACCGTGTCGGCGTGGGGCGAGGTGTCGAGGAACACCCTCCACAAGACAAGCCCCAAGGGCATCACGTGCCTCGACCTCCACCCGTCCAAACCGAACTTGGTGAGAGTTCATGGCACGCTCCGCTGCCACTGCTGCTGCTGCCGTTTGCTGCTGTTTGTTGTTGTACTGCAGTTAAGTGTTGCAACTGCCGTTTCCTGGTGTACTGTACATGTCTTTGAGCTCTCACACCTTGCCAAAGTCTGTTGCAGCGTGCATGTAGGAGTCCAGCCACAGCAGCGGCACAGTAGTATTTGGTGAACAACATGGCGTCTTGTTGTGTGAATCGAGGGTCGCTCGGCGCTGTTGTTTTCTATCGAATCGAGTCTCCTCATCAGCATTTTATCAATTTTACCCGGCAGGCAAAATCTTGGCGCCTCGACATTACAACACATCCCCGCTCCAATGAACAGCTTAAGTGCTGTATAGGACGAACCACGCATGTAGCACTCACACACTCACCTACCGCGCGAACAGGTGCTCACCGGTGGCGTAGACAAGACGGCCATCGTCTTCGACCGGGACACGCAGGCGCAGGTGGCGACGCTCTCCGGTCACACCAAGAGAATCACGGACGCGTGCTTCCACCCCACTCGGGAGCTGCTGCTCACGTCCTCGGCGGACAAGACCGCTCGCGTGTGGCAAGCCCAGGCGGAAGGGGACGGGGGCGGGTACAAGGCTGTCCACGTGCTGGACGACCACGACGGGGAGGTGGTGGGCGCCACGGTGCACGCCACGGGAGACTTCATGGCCACGGCGTCGAAGGACAAGAGCTGGGCGTTCTACGACATCAACAGGTGCGTGGTGACGCGCGTGTGCGGTGCGTGGTGGCGGTATGGTGATGGTTGATGGTTGATGGTGTTTGTCGTTGTGGTTTGCTACGTGGACCGGTGCGGCTCTGTTTGTCTCGCGCCGCTACGGCCGCTGCGATTTCCCCGTCGACAAGCGTGTGCTTGTACATACGGTGTGGACCACGTGTGTTCGGCGTGCGCTCCCCTCACCGCCTGCTGCAGGAACGCATGAAGTACACTCTTCCTTTTTCCCACTGAGTCTCTCCCTTCTCACCCTCACCATCCCATTCGCGTGCCTCTTTCTCGGCTGTGCGGCCGTCCGTCCGTATGTCTCGATCGTCTCACTCCGGATAATCACCCGCCGCGGCCTACCTTGCTGCAACGACGCGACTCTATTGGCAACCTCTGCAATCCTCGACCAACCAAAACTGAACAAAATATATTAAAAAATGAGAAGGGGGAGGTTGTTGAAGCACGTCAAGAATGACGAGTACTCCGAGGGGTACAACTGCGTCCGCTTCCACCCGGACGGCCTCATCCTGGGTACCGGAACTGGTGACGCGCTCGTGCGCATCTGGGACATGAAGCAGGCGGTAAGATTTATTTCTGTACAGTTGCGGCGCGTTTTGCGTGGTGCGGTCGGACGCGGTACGTAAATAGTTGTCCCGCATTTTTGTCTTTCTCTTGTGTTCTATTCTCCTATTTTTTTGGAGGGGTTGTGTGGCCGCCACCGCTGCCGATACTGTCGTAGGTCGGTCGTATGGCTTCCCGTTTTTGCTGTGGAGGTCTGACTTGTGCCACCGATAGGCGAAGCAAGACAACCTACCCCCTACCCCCACCCCTTGCTGCTCCTCCCTCACCCTCGGAGCTGCGCCCCCCCCCACCCCCGTCCGCTAAAAAGGCCAACGTGGCCAACTTCAAGGGCCACGAGGGAGGGGTGAACGCTCTGGCCTTCAGCGAGAACGGTTACTACATGGCCTCGGCGGGTGAGGATGGCTACGCGCGCCTGTGGGACCTCCGCAAGCTCACCAACTTCGACAACCTGACCATCGGCGACGGGGCGGCGCACTCGGTAGCGTTCGACTTCTCGGGGTCCTACCTCGCGGCGGGCGGGAAGAAGCGCACTAAGGTGGGGGGGGGGGGGGGGG